ATCAGCACAGAGCCAAGCCATTAGCAACACAACACATTAAATGCTTCCATCTGTTTTCTCTGGTAATTCATAATTTAAAAGCAAGAAATAAGGGGATGTTAACCCTTTCAGTTCAAGGAACAAAATTTCTTTTAAGTCTTAAATACCAAGGCCTGCCAGAGTAAGACATTAGGACAGCCTATCATAATCAGGTGTTGGAAGTATTGCTATTATAAGCAATTGACGTGGATTTATTTGAACAGTTGTTCCTCATCACATTTTCATGCTTATTGAAACGCCCTCCATCCCCAACCAAAGGTAATATTCGTATAACTTCCCCAGGTTGGAAAATAATAGGTTCCTAACATATCATATGACATAGATGAGAAGCCAGTTTGGAGAAGGGACCACTCGTTGGCTTCTCCTGGGTCCTTGGCACATCGGCTCAGAGCAGCCCAGCACAGCCCACGCTACCGGGTATGGCAGATGCGCTCAATTCCCACCTGTTCTGTGGAATCAGTTTGCTCTGACTTGCTTTCTCATCACGTCTTTCAAAATCCTTTCACCTTCATAAAAAGTAGAATAATATCTCCATAATGTTTTCCCCATAAGAATTTTTTTACTGAGAAGCTTTTATCTTCACCAAGTAAGAATAAGGGGACGACACACAGGTTCCAATAAAAATATTTTCGTTTTTCCTGTGTTTTAAAAAATATGCTTTCTGACTCTGTGAAAAGATAGCTTATGGTCCTTTCTCTTTTTCACAGCTTCTTTTGCAAAAACTCATTCACAAAAGGGATAGATTGCCAATCTTTTCTGATGATCTCTGTTGTGCTCATCCTCGGCTGAATTTAAATGGGGTCATTATGTTAAGCCGGAATAAAACTATTTTATACACCCTAATTCAGAGAGGTCCTGTTTCCACTGAAATTATCCTCCTAAGCAATAAAAGTGGGGTAGAACACAATGGTTTGTGCTGTATTTCCTTAAGACACCTCTACATGACATGCACACCAATATTCTTCCCTTTTCAAAGGTTGTTGTTGGTAAAACAATTGTTTTGTGTTCTTCTTCACCCTCCAGGTTTGCTTTGTCCTTACCCAAAAGCCTTGCTTTGGAGATTGGTGTCCACCGGCCGAATCTCGGACAGATGACACTGGTCTTTTCCGGAGAAATAAGTAACGTGTATCCACTTAATTGCAGCTCCGTCACACTGGGAAGCTGGGGCCGCCTGGTTCCAGGCTGCTCCGCGCCCCAATGGCCTCCAAGTGTGAACAGCAGAGTGCGGTGGGAAGGGCCGGGCCAGATTCACCTGCAGGTGGTTGTCAAGGCAGAACAATTTGAGGGGCTATAGGAAGGTGAAATATAAAGTGAACGGCGCTGGAGGCAGAAGATGTGTGTAATCCTTCCATAAGAGTAGAGCCCACTGTCAGGAAAAAACCTCTCTCGTAACCTCTTGTGAACACAGAGTCCAGAGAATGATGCAAGATGGTCTTTTCCTATCATGACAGGTTTCAGATTAGCTGTCTCTTTTGTTTCTTTTTCTTCTCCTTTGCCTCACATTAGTGTACCACCTCCCTCCTTCCTCTGAAACTTGTGGTCAAGTTATTAGTGCAAGACAGTCAGAAAGATTCCTGGCTTCATCTCGGGTGGGCACCTGTGAATCCTTATGTTCTTCAGACTAGCTTATTTGGTAAACAATAAACCCTCCTGTGTTTATTGATCACCTTTTATAGCACAGTAAATTTTTTTGCTAAAAGGCTCTCACCTTATCATGCTTGGCCAGATGAGATCAGGATGCTATGGTCTTAAACAGTGCAGCAGAAAAAATATATTGGCTTTAAGTCCCAAAGATTTAATGTAGAGGTGTTTTTTTTTTAATTTTTTAATGTTTTATTTATTTATAGGAGAGAGAGAGAGACAGCGTGAGCAGGGGAGGGTCAGAGAGAGAGGGAGTCACAGACTGAAACAGGCTCCAGGCTCTGAGCTGGCAGTCAGCACAGAGCCCGGCGCGGGGCTCGAACCCACGAACCACGAGATCATGACCTAAGCGAAAGTCGGACGCTTAACCGACTAAGCCACCCAGGTGCCCTGATTTAATGTAGAGGTTTAAATGTAGTGGGTTATTTCCACTATACCACGCTTAACTACTTTTAGTATTAGTAATAATTACAATAACAACTAGTAGTTACTTTGTTTCTGATAGCTTTAAGTCCTTTGCCATCTCTTTTAAGCCTCCCAACGCTGCTAAGAAATAGATTTTATAATTATCCAATATCATTGATAAAGAATCAGAGGTTAATTTTCCCAAACTCAGGGCAAATAGTGGCAGCAGGATTTGAACTAGGAAGTTGGGCTCAACAGCCCATGTCTCAGTTGCCATATTTGACTGCTATGTAGGCAAAGGGTGTCAAGTTTCAGTAATGCAAGATGAATATTCTCAAGACCTTATGTCCAGCATGATGTGACAGTTAACAAAACTGTATTGTACACCTGAAATTTCTTAAGAGGATAAATTTTAAATATTCTCACCCTCCCCAAACCTGCCCCCAAAACACAGGTGGTAACTATATAGGTGATGCATGTGTTAACTAGCTTAATTGTGGTGCTCACTGAACCATACATACATATATCAAAACATCAAGTTGTATACCTTAAATAGATATAATTTTTATATGTCAATGATAGTTCAAGAAAGCTGTTTAAACAGAAAGAATAAATGGATAGCTCCCATTAAAAAAAATTCTCCAAATGTTAACATGTACCATAGTTGTTTTATACATACACACATATACACACCTTCTTTCTGAACGTTTTTGGGTTTGAAGACATGATTTCCTTTTGTCCTTAAATGCTTCCATGTATGTTTCCTGAAAACAAGGCCAGTATCTTATATAATCATATAATGATTAAAATCAGGAAATGAACATTGACATAATACTATTACCTAATCTACAAACCTTATTCAGATTATGCTAGTTGTTCCAATAACAACCTTTATAGCAAATTAAAATCCCTGTGCTGAAGGAAAAAAAATGTAGACATGTAGCCAGCCAACGTTTTAAAACAGGGTCAATGGAAGGTGTTAATCTGTGAGTCCAAATATCAGGAACTACGGTGACTGGAGTTTTCCAGGCTGTGAGTGACCACGGCTCTGTCCATCTATGCTATACAGACAGGACAGTGCAGATCCCAAAGGACAGAGCCACAGAGATGGGTGAAATGATTTATAAGACCCTACTTCATGCTGTGAAAAATATAAATGTATTGTAATGAAGATCATTTGTTACTGAGCACAATATACACCTGCTGTAAATTGAAAGAAAAAACCCATAACAAGTGCAAACAGATTCCAGGAAAGAAGTGTGTGTGTGTGTGTGTAGCTTATTTATTTGAGAGTGTGTGTGCACAAGTGTGAGCAGGTAGGGTCAGAGAGAGGGGAAGAGAGAGACATAATTCCAAGCAAGTTCTGTGCTCTCAGCACAGAGCCCCAGGAAGGGCTCAACCTCATGACTGTGGGATCATGACCTGAGCTGAAATTTAGAGTTGAATGCTTAACCAACTGAGCCACCCAGGCTACCAAAAATGGGTAAATTTTAAAAAAGTTGTTGCTTCAGTTCTGTGGTTTCTGAAACCATGTTCCAACAAATCCTGATAAATTATTTTGCCACAACCCATCAAGAATTCAATGAGGATTTTCCAGTAAACACAAGTTTTAGGTTATTAAAATAGCCTATATAATATTTGTCAATTTAAGAACATGAGTATTCAGGAGAAACGTTTTTGAATGCAAAAATGGGTAAGTAAAATGTCTTGTGTTTACTTCATTAGCTATTTAGTGTTGTAATATGTATGTATGTATGTGTGTTTTTAATTTGAGGTAAACTGACAGGTCTTTGACCGACCGAAATGACAGAATCACAATACATTCGTCAATAAATTTAAATATTTGTATTAAATAAAAGACTTTCTAAAACTCATATGTGGTTTTTGTAGTCAATATTTATTACTATTTATTATTTTATTATTAGAGAGAGAGATAGCAAGTGGGGGACAGGGAGCAAGAGAATCCCAGACTCCACACTCAATGAAGAGCCCAAAGTAGGTCTTGATCTCAAGACCCTGGGATCATGACCTGAGCCAAAATCAAGAGTCAGATGCTTAACTGACTGAGCCGCCCAGGCACCCCAAGATTCATTTAATTTTTTAAGCTCACTTATATCACACTGTATCTTAGATAATAAGCTATGTACCTTACCTTTTGTGCTAAAATAGGGCAGGTTCCAAATATTCCAAATATACAATTTCTTACTGTAGCTTAGAAAAGACCACAAACCTGTCGGATTTCATCAAAATTAATCAGCAGAATATTGGAGGATTTTTTTGTGAGAAAGGAAGCCAACAAAGCTTATATAATTATGTATAACTATACATTCCCTTTGTTCCCAAATCGAATATAAATTCTTCTAAAGTAGATGGTTTGCACACAATAAGAGCTCTATAAACATTAGTTGAATAAATTAGTCTCTCTCTTTTGACCCCCACCCTACCATTACACATATAACTACTACTAGCAAATACCAGAAGGCAACCAGCTCTGAAGTCCACCCATCCCCTGTCTCTGGAGAAAAAAGAGTCAAAAGTTTAATCACCTGAGCAAAGTTTCTTTTATTGAAAAGAGTTAACACCTGGTTTCCTTGAATACAAATAATTCAGTGAATTCATTAGGCTGTCCCAGGAATTCATAAAGATGCACGAGGTGCCATGAACCTCATTGGCACAGTGAACTCATTCTGGTTGTGAAAGTTCCTTTTGTAAGAGAAGTTGTATGTACAGAGTCAAATTCCCTTGCTTACTTTTGGTTCTCCTCCATAACAGCCACCCTTAACCTCAATAAAGCAGAAGGACACAACATACAATGAGCCCTTTTCTGGCTGCTATCCCCATACCCCTTTGCCTTGCAGTTGCTCCCAACCCTACGGCAGAAACTTGGCCCCAGGGTTGGGATCACTAACCAGATAGTCTGTTGCCTGCAGAAATGCGCATGCCCATTTCATAAACCATAAAGCTCTAAGCTCGGGTGCTGGAGGCTGCTTTAAAATGTTCATTTCTTTAGTTCTATTCCTCATCCAGTTGACTGAGTCGCTTTACAATCATGCTGTTGATTTTCTTCAGATCGTCTATGTCCTTTCCCTCAGCTGTTAGTCTTCTGGACACATCATCCATCTTGTTTCCAGTTTGAACTTCAAAACAAAAAACAGGCTATGTTACGTTGATATCCAGTGCGTTCTGTTGGGACTCGTTAGTGCCTTGTGGTGGTGCTTAGCTGAGTGCTGAAAGGCCCCCTGGCAAGTCCCCTGCTCCAATATCCCATGCAGCCCCAAAGCCCAGGAGAGAAACTGCGGAAGACTAAAGTTGTCTACCAAAGCGCATCACTTTTACAATGTATTGGGCCCAGCCTAGACTAACCTTTGGCAGCTCCGCACAGATTTTGGCTGAGAAACATCACTGAGCAACCCGAGGAAACCACCATCGGATCTCATTAGAAGCATATGGGAGAAGTGACTGTTAGTTACATTGTCTATTTTAAAGCACTCTTCTCCAAAGGTTTTTGGCTCATCGTTGGGAAATGAGGTTTTCTGGGCTTCAGCCTATTTTGACATAGCTCTGCTGGTTCTGAATTACCAGCCCATAAATGAAAATGTAATAATTCCCCTCAGACCATCCTAAGAACAGAGACAATATTTTCAAAATAAACAGAACTCTTGGCAGTCAAGTAAGCTATGGAGCTCTGCTCATCAGTTAAAATTTCCAGGAAATGCAGCCCAAAATCCATACTTATTATTTGAGCTTCTTATTATTTCCATTTTAAGCAAGTGTCTCCCCCCCCCTTCCAATGTGTCTTTCAGGAACTAATATTGCTGGTATGCATGCCATGAGGCTTGGTGGATAAACTAATGTGGGAAAGTTAACTAGATATTAGAGCTTCCCCTTCAAGGCTTGGGACAAATTGTTGCCCAGAAGCTGCTGCTTCCCCATGTCTGCAAAACTAGGCTGGATGAATGATGCCCTAAGACATGAAGGAAGGACCTTAACTGAGATTAGCTGCAGAGGCAGGCAGAAACACCACTTGCTTCTGGGGAAAAATGTGAAACTGAAGTAAATTCATAACACATAATATCTTTCCCCCTCTTGGGAACATCCTAGAACATTAGTCAAACAGAGAAGGAAGCAGCCGCCGTGCTGGCTTGAGTGTGTTCCACGATACACTGATTTTCCAAATTAAATTCTAAAAAAGAGAAAAAGAGTTCCATTGCAAAAAAAAGATAGAGAAACATTTTTATACTAACCTGCCTCTTGGAAACTCACAAGAAGTAAAAACAACAACAACAAAAAACCACTTTGAGCATTATCTAACTTAGCAAGTCTCAAATTCACTTGACCATAGAATTCTGTTTTTCCTCAGGAAACAATAACATCCCAGGCATGAAGTATTCTCTGAATACACTCCTTGGCCACTAGAAACTGCTACTAGAGGAATCCATAGTAATCCACTCTTGTTGTCCATTATTCCTTTTTAGGACAGAGATTATGACAAAAACATAAGGTCCAAAGGTTTAAAAAGAATATAATCAGTGTAAAATAAGTCTTGACTCTCTTATGTAAAAATGCCAGTTATAAAGAATACAGGTTCTTGCACTTCAGTGAGAAGACTACAAATTTGCACTAAATCCTACTGAAAGCAAAAGGATTTCCTTGTTAAAGATGAGCACAGGCCAAGTTCATTTTCAGATGCCTATGCCAACTCCACTCTGAGGTTTGTCTGAAAACTACAGGAAGTCCTTGTTTTATTTCCTCAACATAGGCAATGGAGGACAGGGGAGATTTAGAACCAGACAGGTCAGGGTTTGAATCCTGGTTGTGCCTCTGATTTGTGGGGTACACATGGAGAGGTAAACTTTCTAGGTCTTAGTCTCTCATCAGTAAAATAGAAATACTATCTTAAGAGATAAAGATTTAAGATAATGAGTTTATGTATCTGGCACAGAGCAATGGCCCAATATAAAGACATTCTTCTTTATTCGTATCTTCTTTCTTAATATGACTTTGCTCTCAACATAAAACACCAGCAGCAAATATAAAATAAATCATATCTATACAAGAGGGGTATAATGACAGTGATAAACTGCATGCTCTTTGAAGTCAGGAAGGAGTATCTTTGGGCCCTGATTCGGCACTTATTAGTTGTGGACCTCAGGCACACTAATTAATCGAAGCCTCAGTGTCAGCATCAGTAAAGCCAGAATAATAGTAGATTCTATGACACAGAGCTGTTACGAGGTTGTGAGCAAACAGACATCAAGTGCTTATTAGCACAGTGCCTGGGACAATGAATGCCCAATATATAACATTTCTTATCATCATTACCTTTCGCATTAGTAGCCATCACCCCACAGAAGCCAGAAGTTCCTTTGGGTGGCTCTCCTGCCTGTAGGGATACCTAAAATTTCCTAGTAATTTAAGTCAGTCTTTACCCCGGATAGGTGTGGCAGAATGACACTGGAGCATTAATTTTTGTTGGTACAACATTTCAGAAGAGTAATCCATGGGCTTTTTCTGGCCCTGAAGATTCAGGAACAACCCACATCCAACTGACAGATACAAGGACACCGTTATCGTAAGTATAGTTCTCATTGCAGCTTCTAATTTCCAGAGGGTATGGGCTGGGCCAGAGAAAAGCAGTTAAATATCCCGCCTTCCCACCCGTCTAGACCCCAGGCTAGATGTAAAGATGGAAGGAGAATGGAGTTTGCATAAGAGCAGGGAGCTGAGGCTGTAAAAGAGCCTGTCCACCTGTCTCGCCCCATCATCAACACCACTACCTCCTTTAATCCTGAATGAATTTAAATTAAAGGCATTCCAAAGACATGGGCTCCACTTCTCATTGAAGATTTTTGAAGGCTACAAGGTCTGCAAAGCACAAAAGGGCAGAAGAAATCAATGATGATTCCGGGCATCCAGGGAAAAGGGCGTCAAAGATGACTCTCCCGCCTCTCGGGCTCCTCCCACTGTTGGCCAGGCCGCTGAAATAACTCCGGAGGACGGCCCGCAGGGGTTAGCTGAGAAAGAGAACTGGCGGGCTGGAGGGGAGGAGACCACAGGTATTGGTGGAGCCAGCAGTCTGCCCCCTGCCGAGGCGGAGAGTGGCCCTGAGGGCTGGGGGGCGTCTCCCCGAGTGGGACAGCTTGGGCCACCACTCAAGGGCAGAGATCAAGACCAGGCCCAGGCTAAGAGCAGGCAGGGTAGGTCGTACAGCCCCGGGGAGTGTCAAACAGGAAAGAAGTGGCTTCATCACCTCCCTAACACCGCCTCTGGGACCCAGCACAAGCCCGCAGCGCTTCCAGTGGATTTCTGGGAAGTGAGAAAACCTGGCAAGGAGTGTGAAACCTGAACGTGACTCTGTTACAGACTGAATTAATGGAGCAATTACACAGTGGATTAAGAAAACAGAATCAACAAGAATAAGCTGCCTAACATTTTGACAGCTAGGGACTCCAAGTAAGAAAGTCGAGTTACAGGGGAGCCTGGGTGGCTCAGTCAATTCAGTGATCAAACTGAAAATCCTTGATTTTGGCCAAGGTGGTGATCTCTTGTCAGGCTTTGCGCTATGAGCATGGGACCCTGTCTCTCCCTCTCTCTTTGCCCCTCCCCCACTAATGTGCTGCACTTGCACGCTCTCTCTCTCAAATAAATAAACTTTAAAAAAAAGAAAAGTAAGTTATATATATATTTAATGTCCTTGTGAACACTGTAGCACTGTGGGCTTACGTCCTCAGAACCCCAGGGTCACTTCAGGCACTCGCTGTCTTTCAGTGTAGCAGACGTTGCCAAAAAGCATGGACTCCTCACAGGAGCAAAGTTAAACAACCAAAAACAAAGTAAGAGCATTTAAGAAGTGAGAACACGTCCGCAGTGCTTACCTATTAGAAAAATCACGAAGGACACCAGTGCCAGGCTGACAATCAGCACAATTATCAGCCCCAGAAAAAATAGACTGTGACTTCTGTTTCCAGAGTTAGTGCCAATGTCTGGGATTTTCTCCTGGAGAGCTAACATGAAACAAACAAAAGCAATGATGACCAAAACTGCTCAGGATCCACCTTGCCAGCAGAACTGAACGGTCCCCCACTATTAGAAACCTGACTAAGGGATATCGTTTTCCCCTATGATCACTCTGGAAAGTGACTTCTATCTTGGGAATGTCTTTGGACTGGGTGTTCTTTGTGAATTTTTTACCTTCTTCAATCTTGGTATTCAAAACAACAAGCACTCTCCCTGGAAAGCTCTTTGAAGATGATGTTAACACTGAAGAGGCAGGACATGGGTTTTCTGTGGATGGGTGGGGGAGGATACGGGTGTTAAGGGTTCAAAGTGAAGGAGGCTATATTGCCCTTTCCCCAGAAGTGACCAAGTAGTAAAACACAGCTGGCTGAGACACCTATGCTGAGTGGAAGGCTGAACACTCTGGGGTATCTCCCAAAAATGCCTTTCACCATAGGAGTAATCAGCTAAGCCTACATCCATTCGAATAGAAAAATGGCCCCAATGTATTTGGGTTTCTTAGAGCTGTCCTTGGGGTGAAGCTGCTTGGCAAACAGCGTTCTTTTAAATGTTGTGCGGTTACACTGAGACTGCAACCATGCCTATAAAGAGGCTAAAGCCTGAAGTATCTGCATTTGGCCATCATTTTGTAAGGCCTGTTTGTCTAGGGACACCCAAATTAAACTAAATAAGCAATACAGGAACTTGGGGTGATGGAGATTACGGACTTCCTTTCTGTGTTCTCTCCTACTTTGCATCAGGCCCACACACTGTGCTACTTGATTATAGCTAGGTGGGTGGCTTAGGCCCCGGCTGTGTAAGTACATCCTGCATCACCTTGCAACAACTTTTGCTTCCTAATCAAAGCAATGGCTTTGCTGGTATCCAAATACCTATTTCTACAGAGACTTGACTGCAACAGAAGCAGGTGAAAATCTGAACCCATTAAAATGAGGGAAAAAGCAAGACCTTAGGAAGGATTTAGAAGGGGAATAATAGATATAAATTCGGGACAATCAGAGTTTAGAATAGGAATGGAACAGGGGCGCCTGGGTGGCTTAGTCGGTTAAGCGTCCGACTTTCGCTTAGGTCATGATCTTGTGGTTCGTGGGTTCGGGCCCCGCGTCGGGCTCTGTGCTGACTGCCAGCTCAGAGCCTGGAGCCTGTTTCAGTCTGTGACTCCCTCTCTCTCTGACCCTCCCCTGCTCATGCTGTCTCTCTCTCTCCTAGAAATAAATAAAACATTAAAAAAAAAAAAAAAGAATAGGAATGGAACAAACAGCCAGTAGAAAATTAATGCCTGTGTTTGAAAGTCAGCTTTTAAGCGGGACAAATGGGGCTCGGAATGATCTGAGAGAACTCATTTACAATATCTAGGGAACAAAGTACACCTCTGTATTTAATAAATTTTTGTTTTGCTTTTCTCCTCCGTTTTTAACCCTTTAATTGGGGCCATTTGTACTTTGTAACTAGAAAATGAAGTTGACTTCTTTGCCCAACAAAACTTAAACGACTTGTTGAAATCTGGATGAATGCATGGAATATTTTCTCAGCAACCCACTACAAAGTATAGCCTCTCCGGGGAAGTGGGCACGGCCATGACCTGGCCATGTCGCTGGAAGGCCCAACAGCCAAGAGGGACAAGCAGGCCTCTTGGAGAACCAGCTCTACAGCCTCCCTGCCCTTTCCAGGGAGAGACACTCTACAGAAACTTCTCAGAACACTTGAAGACAGGTTCTAAACCTTGCTTGGGACAACCCAGGAAAGCCCATAAGCCTGTCAAATAGTAAGAGAACCAACACAAAAATTGCCTAATGATAAAAAGCATTTCCAGCGCTGAGCTGTTTCTAATGCCCACCTCGCCACCCACCACACCCACAGGTCCAGATTAGCCTCTACTATTTTTAGGGGGCCTAGAAGCAGGAGGGGCCAGCAAGCCTGGGAGGCACACGTACGCAGCAGGTGCTGTGAGCCAGCAGGACAGAGGGTCAGTCTGTTTAAGTCATTTATGGAATCCACAATATAAAGCTTTCGGTCCTCAGGCGTGCCTCGAGAGCTGGTGTCCTGGGAATGATTCATTGTTCCTGGAAGAAAAACACTGACATGAAACAGAAGGCCAGTCCTGGGAGCCCCACTGCATGAGCAGCAGAGGCCACAGGAAGCTGGACAGGCACGTCAGGAACCACCCACATGCATCACTTCCAGCTGAAGATCTAAAAAAGCTGTGCTTGTCCAGAAGAAAACATTTCTTTTTGGGGACAACTTTGTACCTATTCTTTTCGCTTGGCTTGCCAGGAAGCTCAGACTCAAGCGTGCCACCCAATCTGAACCCTTTATATCCTGCTTATCTGAATACCCTCGTTCCTCCTCCTCAGGTTTCTCAATTCTCGCTATTTTCCCTGAGCCTGCTTTCTAATTCTGTCATTTATTTTATTTCATTAATTTTTTTTAAGTTTTTGTGTATTTATTTTGAGAGAGAGAGACAGCACATGAGCATGAGTTGGGGAGGGGCAGAGAAGGGAGAGAGAGAATCCTAAGAAAGCTCTGCGCTGACAGGGTGGAGCCCAATTCGGGGCTCAAACAGTGAAATCATAAACCATGAAATCATGATCCCAGCTGAAGTCCCAGTCGCTTAATTGACTGAGTCACCCAGGAGCCCCAAGAAAATTATTTTAAAATAAATTACAAAATTTACGTTGCCTGGGCATCTCAATCAGTTAAACATCTGACTTCGGCTCAGGTCATGATCTGGCAGTTCATGGGTTCCAGCCCCAAGTCAGGCTCCGTGCTGACAGCTCAGAGCCTGGAGTCTGGTTCAGATTCTGTGTCTCCCTCCTTGCCCATCCCCCACTTGCTCTCTGTTTCTCTCTCTTCCTCTCTCTCAGAAAATGGATAAAAATTTAAAAAATAAAATAGTTTTCTTTTTTTTTTTCAATAGTTTTCTTTTATCACATTGTTTATATTCTGGTGAGATGCCTCAAATCCTTTGGACAAGAAAACTATGTATAACCATATTGAAAGATAAAACTAAGCTAGTCAGCCTGTGGCCCAAGTAAAGATTGTGAGAGGGAAGAGAATATTACCGCCAACCGTCCTAATTGCATGAGGCTTTAAAACAAAACTGCAATTTTTATATTCTCGCTCAATATGGTGTATGAGTCTCCACCTTAAATGTATCCTTTAGCCATGAGATGCTGGCAGAGAGTCCTCAAGATAAAATTTTCACGGGCTAAGGTGCTACAAAGAGGAACATGCAGTGGGTTGGAGGCTAGACTCTGGGACATCTGAGGTCTCTTCGCCCTGAGTTTCCTCAGATTAAGGCCACTTCCAGGGTAAAGAATTTTAAAACTGAGGTTTACATTTAAGGTAATATTTTCTAGTGACAGACAACTTTAAGCAAATCTGAAAAGCCCAAATGGATGTATAAAGTCTGTTTTATTATGTCTCTCTAGCACAACAGAGAATGTGTGCCCTTTTAATTACATGGAGTAAAGGGCTCTAGGATGACAAATTCAAATTAGTATCAAAGCTGTCTCTTTCACGGTAATCCCTTTTCATAAAATGAGTCTAATGGTGATATAAGGACTTTTTGATGTGAAAGGGACTGTAGACTCGCTCTAGTCTGGTCCCCCTCCTTCTCACAAAGGAGGAAACGGTTGCTCAGCTGGTGAATGCCCAAGACCATACCTTTAGTTAGATACAGAGCTGGCCAGAAGCAGGTCTCTTGCTTCAGAGTTCATCGTGTCTTCCCTTTCCTCCCCACATTCCTCCCTAACCCTCTTTCAAAATTCGGTTCAAACCTCATCTCTCTAAGAATCACCTGCCTTTCCTTTGTGCTTTTGCTGGATGCAGTACATTCTTCCATCAGAACACATATACTATTTTACAGCATTTACTGCTTACATCTTTGACTTTCCTGATTGACTGAGAACTCCTTAAGGTGGGCACAAATCCTATTCCTCAACTACCCAGTGTCAAATGCATAAGCCATGACTTAAGTCGCAGCAACTAAAATATTTTATTTATGGTTTGAAGCTTACCATTTTCAAAAGAATTTGAGACAGTTAATAAATACAATGACAGAAACAAAACTGAAGGTAAAAATCCTCATGTGATATCTATCTGGACTCTGGTAAAGTCAATAAACTTTGTGCCTGCATTGATATGAAGCAACACACTACTTACTTTCTGTTAACACTATTTTTTTCCCTTTAATATCAGTTACAAAATGAAGAAAAATAGAGTTAGAGTTAGGGGAACACAAATTCAGGGTAAAAAAGTTGCAAACACCTACAGCTCTTAAAAAGGATCAGTCATTTGCTAAACAGTATAAACTGCATTCTGAAATACTAAAAACCAGGAATGTTCCAGTCATACCTAAAACCTGCTAGTATTTGGGAAAAAATATGCTCTTGAAGCCCTAAAAAAAAAAAAAAAAAAAGGGGGGGGGCTAAAGTCGTGGACTAATTAAACTTTATATCAATCAAAGCTAAAAACTAACAAGGTGTTTCAGTTATGCTGAAATTTGAACTAACAAAAATATGTAATTCTCTGAGTATTTTAGTTTAGATATTACTGACCCACCTTAGATACTGGTATTACTGAATTCCAAATATACTTCATGGAACAGTCCTAAGGGAATGACATGAAGTGGTCATTTTTTAAAAAGCAGCAGCAGCATCTTAAATAAAGGGGCCTTAGAGATCAATCAACTATTATCCTTTCACAGATAAAATCGTAAGTAATGACTGATGCATGGTCAGAGAGTCTATTCTTCCAGAAATGTTTTGTTTTTTTTTAATCATCTCTTATACTTTATTATCCTGAATACTAATATTTGATGAGTAATAATGGTTTGTATGTCACATCATAGGATCATCATTCCAGCCGTGGCTTCTATTTTAGGCGTGGTGACTGGCACGCAGTTCATTTTTGGATCTCTGACTTAATGTCCTTAAGCCTTAGCTTCCCCTTTAGGAATGGAATGGCTATTGCTCAAATCTCATACTGAAGCTTAATCAACATTTACAAAGTGGAGGAACAACTAGAAAATCACAGCCACAAAAACTAACCTAAGAGCATGGCAGCTAATTAAATCTCCAAATTATTAGCCTTGCTGCTGACTGAAAAGGTGACTCAGTACAACAACAAATCCAAAATCACTGACACAACAACTGAGAGTAAGCTATGCTGTGCCCTGAAAGCAAACTTCTTCTTCAGGGTAGAGTCATAATATAAATAGATGCCATGTTTGTGTACTTTTAAATTAACTACACCATGCAAATGAAAAATAAAAAACTAGCAAAGAAAATGGGGTTGGGTGTCTGTGGTTCATGACCACCAAGAGCCTATAAATGACTCCATGCGTAAATGGATACAGGATCACGTGGCCCTGAAGCCAGGACCCACAGTTGTTGACACCCAGTTGTTACTATCTCTGGCATCTCCATATAAGGGCACCTGGGACCAACCAGCAGGGCTGGAGAAGCCAGAGTGTTACTAAATTCTGCATCACAGTAGCTCAACCCTCTGGTGTGCAAATTTGCTCACGAAGATTGCCCAAAGCAGTATCCTTTTAACGGAGCCCTTTCTAAGTATCTTGCACTCCAACATGTAAGTAATTTCATTTTCCTCCAGCTTAGTTAGATCAATGCTCACAGCTCTTTTTAGCATTTAAGAATTCTTTGACTAGCTACAAATATTCTGACAAAATAGTGGTCTATGAAAAATTGCTTTGCTCTGTTTTTTCCCCTGGGTGATCGGTATCAAAGCACAGAAGTAACACACCGGTATTGCTTGCCACAGAATCCAAATTGTTATAATAGGGTTTAATTCAAAGCTAATAGGAAGCTTTATTGAGTCATGGTAATTTGTTCGTTAATTCCATTTCAGAGTCAGTGCCTCTTCACATTCAGGAATTAATTTTTTAAATCAAGTCGAAATCATTTCTATCAAAAGTTTAAAGCACAGAGCACATGCAACAAAAAAAACATCCCAGCCTCAAGTATCATAATTCAGGGTCGGTAGAGTAATAGCATGCAAATTACTTACAAAAATGTGAGCTTTGACTGCTAGGTTACCAGAAAAAAAAAAACAAAAACAAACAAACAAAAAAACTACTCAGAAGCAACTAGAGTAAAACTTTCTATGAATTCTGTAGTCCTGTCTTTGCTTTCCCTCAGCGCACGGGTGCTCCCACAAGGCCCGTAAACCCCAGCATGATGTTGATCTATATTTAGTGTTAATTTAGCCAAGCAGTATAAGATTCCAAATACTTGTTTCACAATGTTTAAGGTTTTTAGTGAATATATTACTGAAACTATGCTTTAAAAAGAAAAAGCCACCATGCCTTGATTCAACTGGTGACTGATGAGGTGCTTATTGGACTGAAGTTAATGTCCTTATTTATAGGCTGATGTGACTGTGTAAGCGGACACATTTCTAGCGCTTCTGCCGCGGTATGCTCCCATATATAAATATCCAGTAGCTGACTGGGGCTGCCCTTCTGACAGGACTCCAGACCAACCAGGGGACTGCAACAAAACAGGGACAGAGTAAGGTTGTGATACTAACTAGGATGGTGGCGCGTCGGAGAACTCCTAGTGCTTCCAGAAGCTACAAAAAAAGATTGTGAGTGGGAGACTGTATGGCTACAGACCCACTGCAGGCGAGGGAAGCACTTTGTCTCATCAGCTTCCCTTTCTACTCAAAGGCTTTATTTATTCTGGGAGTCTTTATGCATCCTCTTTCTCAGAAACGTCAGGCTTGGTCTCCTGCGGTTCCCTCGCACACGCGCCGAGGAGCTTCTGCCCTCTGGTGTACATGAAAGAAGCTACAGTGAGGACTGCCGTCCCAAGAGTCCCATTTGCAGGCCACAGGGGCAAACTACCCCCTCAGGACACCAAGGGCTGGGCAGTAAATGGCTATGCAGTCCTTTCCAATCCTACCTTCCATTACACATCTAGATGGACATTATGGACCCTTGAAACATTTTGTACATCAATCAGAAAATGTTTGCTTCACGGAACTTCCCTTACGTTTATATTTAGTATGGACCTCAGTCTACTTTTAGGGGAAAGGAATGCCGTTTCCTTAAGCTTCATCAGTACCAGGGGACCAGTTCAAGGAGGAAGACAATATAACTAATAACTGTCTCCCCAGAAGTACATTATGTATTAAAAATCTATGCCAAATTTCTTGAAAAATGAAAATGCTTGTTTACTGTTATATTATCAGCCTGTTTAAAAATCTTCTGGCTACCTGATCAGTCTTAAACCATCAAACCTTTGAGGAAATAGAACAGCCTCATTTTGAATATGTACTGTTTCTCTCTTTCCTGTAACCTTACAACCCAATCAATCCCACTTCAGGGATGAGGAAAATGGAACCTAAACAATTCCTTACCCCAAAGTCTGAATTCAACCAGTGAAGGGGATGAAACAGTCTTATAGTTTGTGATTAATTAGACTTCTGGAGAAGCACGTGAGAGCAAAGCAAGATAACATACGTCAGAGTCATTAAGGAGAAAACAGGTATTCTCACCTGAATTGTTTAATCTGGGGGCATTTTTAAGTATTTCTTGATTTTTATTTCAAATACTTTATTTTACTGTATCTAAATTCAACTCCCAGGAAATTCAGTAAATTTAGCTATCACAGACATGAATCATGGATGCTGATTGCTTCAAAAATAATGCTTGAGCCTCAAAATATTAAGAACGTATTAGGCAGAGACCACTTTAAATTCCTTTAAGCCAGCAAGATCAAGAATCAAGGAATAAAGTGGTCTATCATACACCATTTTACTCCTTTCGAGAAAACTCTATTTTTATACATTGAAACCCCAGTAATCCTTGTCTAGCAACTATCCATTAATTTCATGAAAATGTACTCATCCAGAAATTAAACATGCAGATTGACTCATTTCTCTCTTCTTCCTCTTAAAACCCCATTAAAAGGGGCAGAATAGGAATTAATTTTACAATTCCAAAGTGCCTCTAATAACAAAAAAAATCAGAAATAAAAATTGCATATCACATAGAGCAAGGTCTTCAAAATCCTGAATTTTATTTTCTACCTAAAACTTTATACACCCAAGCCATATTACCTTTCAGGTATGTGGTAGTCTCAAGAGTAATTGAGCACCCATCCCCAGAGTTACTGAAGTGTTCCACCTTATCAAGTAAGTAATCTAAGAATAAAGACACAGGGTCCAGGAAATGTGGACTCCAACCCAAAAGAGGAAAACAAATCCCAGGATGAAGTCTCAGAAACAGCTGTATATATATATATATATATATATATATATATATATATATGGATAATAGAGAAATTTGTTTAGACTGAAACAGGATATGGTTGGGCTTTGACCATGTGGAAAAAAATGTTTTAAAAAGTTTTACTCTGGGACTGTTCTAAAAGAGTTAGTGATGTCTATGTAAAACCAAAACAAAATGTCGAGAATGGAAAGGAAGCACAGGCAAATCGTTCAGGAATGAACATAGAAATATGGTCAACTATAATGCAACGATGCCAATTTCACGAAAAAATACCAGGAGAATGAGAAACAAAAATAAAAAGGCGAAAATCTTCATCTATCAAATAGGAAGCTGTCAGACATCTAAACATAGTTAATAAATAGCAGTAAAAGCATATTACTTATAAAAATCTGAAACCAAGGCCCTAAGAAAAAAGCCGAAGGCTGAAATTCCCTCTGTGAAATGGAAAAGGATGGAGCAGGGAGCTAATTTTTCCCCTTACAATCTTTGAGGTACCATTCAACTATGTGTAAGGATCACTTTAATAAAAATTCATTCTTATTTAAAAAGATGTATGCATACACGAAATAGAAAATGTACAGGGGAAACTACTTTGCCGTCGCTTTTCCAGGATCCTAACCTACTTGGGAGTACAAGGAGGTGACAACAGCAGACTCCAGGTTCTGGATTCAGAGGCGGTTTTGCTCTGCACCAGACCTGAGGGAGGGGACTCACACTCGCAGCAGCTACAGTGACTCCACAGGCCAGACTACATGGTTTCAACAAGCAGCTGCATCTGATGTCCCAGGAGTTGTTGAGAATTTGGGGGAGGAAGAGCACTAGTTTGGGGAAAATGCCTTCACTGACTTGGGCTCTTCTCTACACTGCACAGGCTCCCCACCCCCGTGCCTCTTACTACTGTTTTCTGCACTAAAACGAAAGCAACCAGTAGAATCCCAATGAGACGCTTAGTATTATTCTATAGTGATATTCCCAATGACATTGCTACGTTCTTTCACCCATCTTCAGGTTTCCAAATATACAAAGTGAGTTTTGTCTCTCTCTCCGTATTTAGGTTGCTTATTTTGAACTCTGTATCTCAAACCCATAAATGTTTCTTCTACTAGAAAAGAAGCACTTTTAGTGTGAAAAGACCTTTAGTTCAAAATATAAGACTATAGCAGATAAAATGTGTTACTGCCTTCAGAGGTCAAGGTTGGCAGCCTTTCCGGCATATGCTAAACTCCTCATGAACTCCCAACAGCTGGACCAAATGGCCTTTCAGAGTAGCACTAAGGTCTTGTGGTATAATTCTCTCTGTCCATCCCAGTGACAAAACAAACATTAGGTCCCATTGAATAATTAAAATATAGCAGCTTTTCCAAAAGAATTAGCTCCCAAAATTGTATCCAGCACTTGTCTAGTATCTTTAAGTACCCTGTATATTTACATCATTATAACCAATGTTTTTGGACAACCACAGTATTAAGAAATTTAAACTTGGATAATAGGTTTCCTCAGTATGAAATCAAGTGCAATACCTATTTTTGCTCTCTTCATAAATAGAAAATGGCCAAACATTACAAATACTTTATTTATGTTTACTGATTATATTTACAGAAAATATTCAACAATCAGAACTCACCATTTGCAAATACTGTACATTAAATTATAATATAACCCCTGCTACAAAAGCTATCTATGTTAATCTAAGATAAAAACTATCTCTAGTTTAAATACATTAGAAATTACAAAAAAAAAATTAGAAAGTGGTCTTCAAGTGCTGAAGATCTAGAAGAATTCTCCAACATCTGCTCTCTTATCTCGACATTTGCTTCGAGCTTTTGTTCGAGCTTTGAAGGCTGCAGAATTATAAAGATGCTGAAATGAAGGAAAGGAA